CCACCCAGTAGGGTCATTGGACAATTGAGATGCTAAAGGAGCTCTCAAAGATTATAGTTATTGTGGAGAAACTAAATGAATTCTGTGCTTCAGTCTTCACAACTAAGGATATTGGGGAGATCCCCAAACTTGAGTCATTCTTTTTAGGTGATAAATCTGAGGAATTGTCCTAGATTGAGGTGTCATTAGAGGAGGTTTTGGAACAAATTGAGAAACTTAACAGTAACAAGATACCAGGACCAGATGGCATTCACATGGAATTCTGAAAGAACTCAAATGTGAAATTGCAGAACCGTGGTTTGTCAATCCGATATAGTACCTAATGACTAGAAGGTAGTGAACATGAGCCAATATTTAAAAAGGGCTCTAGGGGTGATCCTGGCAATTAGACCAGTAAGTCTAATGTCCGTACTGGGCAAATTAGTTGACAGTAGTAAAGAATAAAACTGTAAGACAAATTAGAGGAATATAATTTGTTGGGGGAAAGTCAACATGGTTTCTGTAAAGGGAAATCAAGACTTACTAATCTACTAGAGTTCTTTGTTGACCCCCTCAAACATGTGGACAAGGGAGAATCCAGTTGATATAGTATACTTAGATTTCCAAAAAGCATTTGACAAGATCCCTTACCAAAGGCCCTTACGTGAAGTAGTTGTCATGGGTTAAGAGAGAAGGTCCTTTCATGGCTTGATAACTGGGTAAGACAATGATAATGGGTTAAAAGACAGGAAATAAAGGGTAGGAATAAATTGTAAGTTTTCCAAGTGCAGAGGTAACTAGTGGGTTCCCTCAAAGGTCTGTCCTGGGACCAATACTGTTCAACTTATTTATAAATGATCTGGAGAAAGGGGTAAACAGTGAGGTGGCAAAATTTGCAGATGGTACTAAACCGCTCAAGATAGTCAAGACCAAAGCAGACTGTGAAGAGCTTCCGAAAAATCTCACCAAACTAAGTGATTGGGCAACACAATGGCAAATTGAATTCATCAACATTAAATTTCAAGTAATGCACACTGGAAGAAAATAATCCCAACTATATATACAACATGATGGGGAGTAAATTAGCTATAACTACTCAAGAGATCTTGGATTCATTGTGGATAGTTCTCTGAAAACATCCACTCAGTGTGCAGCAGTACTCAAAAAAGCAATAGACTGTTAGGAATCATTAAAGGGATAGAGAATAAGAAGGAATACTACTTACTGCTTCTATATAAAACCATGGTATGCCCACATCTTGAATACTGCATTATTTACTTATTCCCATAGTATAAGAACTAGGGGTCACCAAATGAAATTAACAGGCAGCAGGTTTAAAACAAACAAAAGGAAGTTTTTCTTCATTCAGCACAGTCAATCTGTGGAACTCCTTGCCAGAGCGTGTGGTGAAGGCTAGGATTTGAACAGGGTTTAAAAATTAAAGAGCTAGATAGATGCATGGAGGTTAGATCCATCAATGGCTATTAGCCAGCATGGTAGGAATGGTGTCCCTAGTCTGACTGTCTGGAGATGGATGAAAGGAGAAGAATCACGTGATTATCTGTTGTGTTCCCTCCCTCTGGGGCATCTGGTATTGGCCACCCTTGGCAGACAGGATACTGGGCTAGATGAACCTTTGGTCTTATCCAATATGGCTATGCTTATGTTTTTATTAAAACTTTAAGATCCTCTTCTATTGCCTTTTCTCACTATGTGCTAGAAAGGGGAACTTCTGGCTATGCCTTGGAGTTACAGTTCTGCTCTCTTACTCTTTATCAGTTTTCTCCTTGTAAGCTTCAGATGTCGTAATTTTACCCTTTCTGGCTTTATACTGTCCTATTATTCCAATGAAATAGTGACTTAATTTACTGTTGGTTCTAGTGACTTAATTTACTGTTGGTAGCTATCTCAAGCAGCCAGAGAGACTGTCCAGGTTAATTGTTTTCCTTGCTGTGCACTGAGTTTGTATCCTAGATGTGGCAATTGACAACATTTGGTTACTTTTAACTTTGTTGTTAGGCAGCAGCAGAAATGTTGGTGTGATCCACCTACAAGCATCTGGCAGATATCACTGTATGGGTTTGCACTACTTGTGAAGGGCAAAAAACTTATATTTCTATAATGTGTGGTTTAGGTCCAGCAGAAGGTAACTATTCTCACTTGAGGAAGCCTACTTATTGTGAGTAACTGTGTTACAAACTCTCTTCTGTGAATAACCAACATGGGGATAGTTTAGTTTCAAATTGCTAGAGGCTCTTACCACTGAATCATAGTAACATTTCCAACTGTCCAGCTACGTCTACACTGGCCCCATAAAATGGAATAGTCATGCAAAGCAGGTAAGTCAGAATAGGGAAATCCGCGGGGGTTTTAAATATCCCCCACGGATTTAAATAAACATGTCCGCCCCTTTTTCTAGACTGGCCCCATAAGACGGAATAGTCATGCAAAGCAGGTAAGTCAGAATAGGGAAATCCGCGGGGGATTTAAATATCCCCCGCGGGATTTAAATAAACATGTCCGCCGCTTTTTTTTCCGGCTTGGGAAAAAGCTGGAAAAAAGCGTCTAGACTGGCGTGATCCTCTGGAATAAAGCCCTTTTCCGGAGGATCTCTTATTCCTACTTTCAATAAGAGATCCTCCGGAAAAGGGCTTTATTCCGGAGGATCGCGCCAGTCTAGACGCTTTTTTCCAGCTTTTCCCCAAGCCGGAAAAAAGAGGCGGACATGTTTATTTAAATCCGGGGGGGATATTTAAATCCCCCGTGGATTTCCCTATTCTGACTTACCTGCTTTGCATGACTATTCTGTTTTTTATGGGGCCAGTGTAGACGTAGCCTCCTTGAAATAGTGTAAAGCAGTGGTTCTCAAAGAGCAGTCTGCAGACCATTGCTGCCTCCCATGTGGTCTGTGGTGGGAGCTGCCCTCTCCCTCCCTCTCCCCCCCCCCCTCC